CTTTTGAGGGCTCTACCATTAGTAACTTAAGATTTCTATCTTACTGATCAATAGACAATCACAATTAAAAGTTGATTCTCTAACATATATCTGCTTTTATATCCACACATACAATGTACAACAGAAAGTTCACCGATAAAACAAAACTGCAATATAATAATATGCCCGGAATTGTACAATATATATTTGTTTTTAGGACTATACCGCCATACAATGCTCTTAATATAAGCATAGGACAGGCTCTCGGCTAACTTCACTCATATAAGTATGGTCCGAAAAAATGTTAAAAATAGATCAGCGCCATTTATTTGTACGTAATTTGAAATGAGTTTGCCGATTCCCGAAATCCGTCATTTTATTATACGTATTAATATTTTTAAGGCAGTACAGACGCCATCTTGATTTGATGTTATCGCGAGTTTGGCATCAGGATCTTGTCAGTGTATTACGCGAAACGCTTCTGATTATTCGGTAGGCAGCGGCTTGGCTCTGCCCCTGGCATTGCTGAAGTCCATGGGCGACGGTAACCACTCACCATCAGGTGGGCCGTATGCTCGTCTGCCTACAAGGGCAATAAAAAAAAGAGTGCATATTCATAAACACTTATGTTGAATTTCTTGTTTAATTTGATTTTGTTGATTTGTTTTTGTTAATTCTTAAAATTAGTTTTGGCTTTTTTTTCAATGACGATGAGCAAAAAAGTTGGATGTTTCACATCGGCGAGCTCAAGAAGTTGTCAGTAATGTTGATAAGTACTTCAAAGAAGAGAAAAAGCGTGCCATTACACTACCAATAGTGTGTTTAACTGGCAAGCACATCCAAAATAGTGATAAATACTGACACCCAAAAAGAAACTACGTTATTAAATAATAATATATTAGTAATACAGTAGTACGATATACCAAGTGGAGACAAATTGTGAGGGCCCTATGTACCAGCTGGGTACCCTAGGACTAATAACAATAACGATATACCAAAGATATGCAGTTTTATTTATCATTTCGTTTTTGCATACTGTACTGAGTTCCTGTGACCTCACAATATGGCGCTAGGCTGGCGTAAAAATCTATATATTAATACGTGAAGGAAACCTTTGTATCCCTTTTTACGAAAATTGCGCGGACGGAGGAGTATGAAATTTTCCACACTTATAGAGAATATAGAGAAGAAGTGCACAATGCTAATATTTTTTTAAAATAATGCATAAAAGATACATTAAATCAATAAAGAAAACATTACACACACTACATACCATGTATTTGACGCACACACGCATGCATACTATTTATTGTCAAACTTTTGTTCTTGACGTCTGTTGTCAAATTGAGAATAGATTAAATATTGTTTGTCTTTGTTAATATTTTTTATAGTGTAGTCTTGGCGAAGTTTGTGATTATAGAAGTATAAAATACAATCATAATAGTGTACAAACTTACAATTCCAATTAATTATAGTCGAATTTCGACTACTGCGGGACCTCTAGTTATATTAAGAATTTGATGTGTACTTTTTAGTATAAGCCGTGCCAATAAAGAAATGAATCTAAAATGGCGGCGGCCATCATGCGCTCTCATTCTTTTTTTTTTTTATTGCTTAGATGGGTGGACGAGCTCACAGCCCACCTGGTGTTAAGTGGTTACTGGAGCCCATAGACATCTACAACGTAAATGCGCCACCCACCTTGAGATATAAGTTCTAAGGTCTCAGTATAGTTACAACGGCTACCCCACCCTTCGAACCGAAACGCATTACTGCTTCACGGCGGAAATAGGCGGGGTGGTGGTACCTACCCGTGCGGACTCCCTAGAGGTCCTACCACCAGTGAAAAACTCTCATTTTAAACTATTGCTGTTTTTAGTCGCACACGGCGCGTACTGCATTCTGACTTTGTTCTCACACTGTCTCGACGCGCTCTGTTTTCTCTCAAATTCTTTTGTTATTTATTGCATTTGATCATTATTTCGTTGTTATTTGTTGTTGCTTAAAGTAAAGTACATTCTTATTTGTTTTTTTTTATATATATTTTTTTTAAAATAAAAAACACATTTTCTTTCTATCTTTCTTTTTATTTGTTGACCCTACCATCTGCCAGTGCAGGTACATTACATAGACGCCATTTTCGATTCGTTTCTACATTGGCGCGGCTTATACATAAAATGGAAATAAAAATATTTATAAAAGGACAGTGATATAAGTTTTTTTTTATTTGTTTTTTATTGCTTAGATGGGTGGAAGAGCTCACAGGCCTCCTGGTGTTAAGTGGTTACTGGAGCCCATAGACATCTACAACGTAAATGCGCCACCCACGTTGAGATATAAGCTCTAAGGTCTCAAGTATAGTTACAACGGCTGCTCCGCCCTTCAAACCGAAACGCGTTACTGCTTCACGGCAGAAATAGGCAGGGCGGTGGTACCTGCCCGCGCGGACTCACAAGAGGTCCTACCACCAGTAAAGTTATAATAAAATAAATAAGTTTATTGTTTGTGCCCAGCGGTGAATTGTCGTCGTCGTGGGCGGCCAACCTGCCGCGGTTCGTGCGGCGCCGCGACGCGCTCGTGTTGCCCGCGCACGCGCACCCGCACCACTCGCTCAGCTCCACGCCGGACCGACGCAACTCGCAGGACTCTCAGATCAGCATCAGCCTACGACACGTGTCCGTAGAATCTCGCCGCAACTCACTCGACAGTCAGCTCTCGGTGAAGATCGCCGAGATGAAAACCAAAGTCGGTCGCCGCCGAACCAAACATACCAAAGCGAAACGTAAACGGGCCACCGGGCCCCGCAAGGAGAGCACGCCTTCCATCGAGAGTCAAATAAGCCGCTATTGGCTGCAGGCCGTCGCGGCTAACAACGATCGCTCCAGAGAAGAAGTCAAATTCAGCTTTGAATGATCGCAAATCATTTAATAATCTGTGCCAAGAATTACTTTATAATAAATAAAAACTTGAATCTCGAACTTGAAACTTAAATTAAGTTAAGAAGCAACTTATTTTTTGTGATTATATTGATTACGATAAAGACTGATTAGAAGAGTCTCTACGATTGTATTAATATAGAATTAAAACAATTCCATGACATATTACGAATGTGATGAAATTACGTTGTCTTCATTCTTGACTGTGCTCGTGCCATATCTTCAGAAGTTGTTTGGGAGTCATTCTAACGTGTGTGGCGTAACTTTTGTTATCGCATTTGTACAAAGCTTTTTGTAATATATATTTTTGTCTCTTAGTTTGGTAAGCAATAACATAACAGTAAGGTTGTGATTCGCGTTGTATCTGAGACAACACACGATTGAAATGTTTTTTTAAGCATGTTTTATTCTTGTTGTCGACAAAACGGCAAATACATTAAGTCTGCATTAGCTTTAAATTTTTCGATAAAAACGTTTTTTAAATAAACTTTTGATACATATTGTTTATTTTTATTTAATAAACACAATGTATACAACCTCCAATCCCTACAATCCCGCTTTTGCAGGCTAGCCGTCGGAGCTCCGTGGTTCGTGAGGAACGTTGACGTACACGACGACCTTAGCCTCGAATCAATCCAGAAATATATGAAGTCAGCGTCGGATCGATATAAGGCTATGCGTCATGATAATCGCCTTATCGTTGCCGCCGCTGACTACTCCCCGAATCCTGATCACGCAGGAGTCAGTCACTGTCGACGCCCTAAACACGTCCTTACGGATCCCTCAGATCCAATAACCTTTGCCTTGTACGCCTTCAGCTCCAACATTACGGGGCAGGCCAAGAGACCTCGGTAACCGTACTCGTCGAACTCTACAAAGAGTGCAACCTAACCCATGCATCAACTCGCTGGGTTTCTCGCCGGATCTTCTCAGCGGGCCCGGTAGTAGATTCATTCGCGAAGCAGCTGCTCTTGAGTTGTTGGGTCTCCTTCGGAGGCGCTCGCGTACAAAATGTCACTTTCAACTGACGGAGCCCAACATCTAGGCATCTCTTCAAAATTCGTCTATATTGGCCATTTGAATTGGTTTTCGATAACCTTGCGGAACGTCTAGACAGTAACATTTACCTTGTATTCATTTGCATAAGCTCCCGTTGGTCTAAGCTCGACCAACATGTATTGTAGGCTTAAGATCTCTAACGAGCGCCTGTGAGAGGACGGTCAGTAAATGCCTATTGACAAGCAGATCGTGCGTTGCAAAAGGAAATGGGTAGACCATTACTTCAGGAGAGAGCGCACACATATATTGAGGCAACCCCTTGAATGGACCCCCATGACAAGCGGAAATTAAGCCGTCACAGACAGACCAGAGTATGGCGCGTAGTAAGACCTATACTGATGGTGAAATACTGTCGAAGCCCACTATCTCATCTGGGCCCCTCAGGAGATTAACCAAACAAGACTACTCATTTTTGTGTTCTGCTCCCTGGGTTAGTACCATATTTTCAAAGGAAGTGTGTATTTATTTCGTGTTCAACGAACGATTTCCATAATGAAGGGGACAGCGACAAAAATGAAACCTTCCAATAAAAAGTGTAAATACTAGAAGTAGGGTGTCCTATGAGCACGTATGGTGCCTACACCACCAGCATTACTCTGCCTATTTCTTCCGCGCAACAGTAATCCATTCCGATAAACGATAGGACAGCTGTTATACTATACAATTGAGTTAGCCTTACGTCACAAGGTAGGTGGCGGGGCTGATGCAATAATACCTATGGGCTTCGCTTAACATCAACTGGCCCGTGAGCTCTGCCACCTGTCTATGCAATAGAAATAAAAAAGATGTGTGGTGTCGTGGGACACCGGAAAGGAACGAGTTCCATATATTAAAAAAAAAAAGAATTGCGAGAAAAAAATCGCGCGATCAAATATCGCTGTGCGGAAAACAAGGCCTTATTCCACGGATTTTTTCTTACGGTTTTTACTATCACATTTTTTTCAGTTCGGTCGCGCAGCAAAATCCCTATTGGAGGACCAAGCCTGCCGTAAAGAACTTCGTTCCAAAAAAAGAGAACGCGATGAAATAAAATTAGAAATGTATTTATTTATCCTTTAATTAATTGGAACAACGGCAAGCAAATCATGTCACAGAAATTATCTTCTATCTATTCATCTAGTGCATGTCGTATGTTGTATCTGTACTAAAATACAGTAATAAATATACCTATTACATTACTAGGTATAAGCTTTCATATAACTATAGGACGCAAAGGTAATTTAATTAGCCTTATTAAATATCACTAATCAATGAACGGAAAGATAATATTAGAAAAACATTTACTTAGCTACTAAGTATGCTTTTAAGAGATAAATTAAAATTCTAGTTGCAAATTATACTGATTCGTTAAGATTTGTTTAAATCTCTTACTAGGTTATTGAAAAACATGGAACAGTACTGAGTTCTTTTTTATAGCAAAATAAGATAGGTTAAATTCTTGTAATTGCAATGTTTTTCAAATGCCTAGTAAAAAAAAAAGAAATAACTGAGATGGTAAAAGAATTACCAACTTAAGTTGATAAATCAATTTAATTTGCACTTTATTAGCCTAAACAATGTTACAACAATCAATCACAGCAGTAATATTATTACCTCAGGCAAGATTATTTAAGTAGCGTTTCATATCCCGAAAGATAGCCTCTTATAACACATATCTAAAATAAATAAACACTAAAAGTACACATTCACGGGATTTTGTTTAATATTAATTTGTAATTTAAACGGGTTAAAAGAAAACATTTTCCGCCGTGAATCTTTACTCATAATGGTTATTTACAAACAATAAAATTTAAATTATAAAGCTCTACATTTTGTAGACCGTGTGATTATAGTACATACGCATAAAATTAATAACAAAAAAAGTATGTCATTTGCTGACCAGCATGCAAATTAACAATGAAAATAAAACAAGATTTATAAAAAATAAAAAGAAAAAACATAAAAGATATCACTAACATGTAAGGAACGTATAGTCGCAGCTTTTATTGTGAAACTAGTCACAACAATTGCACAATAAAGGGAACTTGATTCTTTGGCGCTTAACAATAATAAAAATCACAATTTGAAATTTATCTTATAAAATAAATTCGATAAAACCCCCAACAAAACAAAAATAACCACCATTACTAAAACTATTATTATGTGTAAAATCATTATGCTTTAAAGGTGACTTATTATTAAGTGCATATTATCTATATCACTCGGACGTCTAGCTGCATTGTTTCTTACTACTAACTAATACAAGAACTTAAGTAGAAATTAACAAAAAATATCTTGTAAAAGACATTTAATTTAAGTACTTTCACAGCAGTCTAAGTCCTTGCCTTGCGAATATTTTTCTTTTCGGCTTCAGTAAATCCCAGTATATTTTCTATAGCGTTTAGATGTCCTTGATGGTTTTCAGGATCTGTCAAGAAGTAGTAGATGGCAGATTTCAGAAACTGGAGAGTCACTTCGGGATCGATGTTGTTTTTGTTACCTTTCTGCGCCTCGACAATGCGACGGTACATTGCCTGAAAAAAGAAATAATTATTTTATTTTTTGTCCTTGTATTTACTTTAATCCATGATCAGTGAGAATGAAAATTTAACCATTATTAAATTAAACTAAGTACAATACAAATAAAAAATCTTACGGCTACAAAATTATTTTACCCATAAACCAAAAGAGGCTGTTTCAACGTATTAGCATGCAAGCTTGGTGTAAGTATTAACTAAATGACTATTGCAAATTAAATGAGGTTAGAGGTCAATACTCCTGTTAGTATAAGCGCTAAGACCTACATAAATTACTACAGGGTTTATTAAACAAACCACCGATATGTAAAAATAAGTAAATATTATTCCATATGGTTGGTTCCAATGGTTGGGGAGAAGATTAAGATAACTTATATTCAGAAGAATTTTTAACTATCATAAACACTATCAAATTGGGAGCTAATAAACCTTAAGTATTTACAAAATAAAATATTCTACTAGCCCCAGCAATTATTATTCATTTGAGATTCAAATTATAATACAAAAATATTTAGGAAACTAAGGCAAAATAAATATTAGCAAGTTCCTGTATGGTAAGCAGGGTGTACAATAAATAAAATTTATTTAACAGTGAGCGCTACACGTTCCGGTATAAAAATCCAACCTTTCGAGCTCCTAGGACCCATAAAGAAACAGCCTCCTTTGCACTTAGCAGTACTTGTGATTTTGCCGTTCGGTCCTCAGTGAATGCCGTGTCCTGTAATGCACTACTTATTAAAGCGAGCTCTTGTTAATGCCACATGCACAACTACTATCAGTGAGCTCACAATCATTCTGTTAAATAATTATCGGAATGTGATTTTCTTTTTAGTTACTACTAAACTTTAATTGGTTAATTAGGAAAATTTAGTATAAAGTTTTCATGGAATTTCATTGGTAAATTGTAATGAAAAGCAGTTAAGTATATAAGGATATTAAACTAAATCATTCGCTTATTGGTATCAAAATTTTGATACTTACTCGGATTTTCTCGAGCTCAGTCTGCGTAATCTGTAATTGCTCCAGTAGCTCTTCCACCGAAACTCGGCTCATTTGCCCTTGTGACATTCCAGCTTCAATCTCCTGAAATTTAAAGATGCAAATCGGATGAGTGATTTCGAAATTTTATGTTTTTGTTTTAATGAAGTGCATAAATATTTTTACAAGTATTTCTAATGATAATTCAAGTTATTAACAGATATATGAAGCGCAAATATAATCGTTCACGAATTACTATATTTGCATAATCACCAGAATGCAAGTTGCACAACATATTATCGAGTGAGCAAAATACATAGTGCGATCGGTTATCTTTTATAATTTTATAATTGAAATGTATTTTATACACATAAATCTTTAAGATTAATTATTTGACACCATTGATTTTTTGTCTTATGTTTACTACTTTCAGTTTCACAAAAGATGGCTATTTGTCTTATAGACTAAATAGTTATTTACTTAAACCATAAAAGACAGACGGGGAACACCTAGATAGTAGCTATTATCAGTGAAGTACGTACTGGTGGCAGGACGTATTGGCCCACATAAGTAGGTACAGTTATGTTAGCTATTTTGGTGTGAAGCACTAATCTGTTCCAGTTGGAAAGATTTGGGAATTGAATCTTCAACCCCATGTCTCAATTAGATGGTGATATTCATATCGGGTACCTATGGACTCTGGTAATTTCTTAACATTGCATGAAACATAAGCTCTCCCACGCTTATTAGTAAATGAAATAAAATAGAATCTACAATATGCAATTGGTATTTTGATATATCTATGTGAATATTTTGGAACGAGAATACAAAATAATTAAACTTAGATTGAATAGAGTAAATATAAATTGTAAATAATACAATGCTGTTTGTTACAGCTTTTTTAAAAGGACTAAATTTTCTTTGATTCTGATGACAAATTTTATTTTCTCAAAACCCCAATTAAAAACAGTGATATAGAAAATTAAGATATAGTGGGACAATACTATACCTTCCCCATTTCAAACTTAGCAGCTTCTACACCTTTGTTGTACATCTGCAAGTACATTGAACGGTTTCTACCATCTTCGTCCTCTAACTGCTTACTTGCTTCTTCCAGTTGTTTTTCTAAGGAATGAATTCTTTCCTTTGCTTGTTCATAATTAGGTAGCAATTCACAATACCGTGTGTTAACATCAGCCAATTTCTGGAGTAAGGCTTCTACTTTGTCATTATGAGCTTTTTTAAGTTCTTGTGTTTCTCCAACATGAGAGCGAACAACATCCTCAATTTTTTTCTCATAAAATGCAATCAAACTATGTCTTTCCTCCACTGCATTGTTTATATCAGTCATGCAAGAGACTTCATGTGTAAGCATATGAACAGATTCTTTAGAGTGTAAAGATGAGTTTGTGAGATCATCAAAATGTCCAGAATCAGTGAACGAACCTTGCATTTCATTGCGACATCTTGTTGGTGTTTCATCTTTAAACAATGGGCTGTCAATAACATCAAAATTTCTACAAGATTTTTCACATTTAGAAGTTGATTGATTATGTAATGCATCTTCAGCATTCTCCCTTATAGTAACTATTTCACTAGAGGTTGATTTTTCGTCAGGTGAGCATATAGATGTTTTATAAAGACGTAGTTCAACTACTTCTTTTGTTAGTTGGAATATTTCACTATCTTTTTTTTCCAGGTCTCTCTTTGCTTGACTAAGCATACTTTTAAGCCGACGGATTTGCTTTTGAGCTCTCTGTGTAGGAGTCAGATATTCATCACCTGCCAAACCTGCATGAGATGAGCAATGCAAAACATAGCGCATTGATCTGCCACTGAATGTGGTCCCATTGAACGGAGCATACCCAGCATCAACAGAGGCAGCTGTAGCTGCACTCCCATAGCTATGCAGAGATTCATCATCAGGTAAGTCTTCAGGTGACCCTGGTGGTGTGTGGGCAGAATCAGTCATGCTCAAGTTTCGATCTATACAAGCATCTTGTGTTTTTAAACAGGACTTTTTGGGCTTTTGCTGAGCATTTGAATTAAATGACTGAAAACAAATCAATACTTATTAATTTTAAATAATCACAAACACAGTCAATTTTATAACATTATACATATATACATACATATATGCACTCTATACCTAACAATTATTTTCTAATGATTAATGATGACCTAGATATGATGTAGGTAAGTACTTGTAGTTTTGGCCTTGCCTAACGCTTTAGACTGTGGAAAATTAGTGTAGTGTACTTATTAAACAAGTGTACAATCTAGATTCAATCGTTTTATAAATTATAATACATTTTGATGTCTTTGTCAAAGCGTAATCAAGACAATCATGTTATGTATAGTAAGCAGTGCACTTGTCAAGATGCCGGGAACTTACATGACTCCGCTGGCGATGACCCGGCTCTTGGAGTCGAGAACCATCGCTGCGTTGTTTTTGTGGCGTGTTTTCCGTGATTATTGGAATCAACTTCCTTGTGCAAAGTGGTGAACGCTGTACCATCTTTTCGCCGCGCAGCCGCAGTGATGAGCTGCGTCGAAAGTTACCGCTGACATTGGCCGCGCAACAGTGTTCATCGTGGAGTTCCGCGGTTCTTCTACTGTAGTTTCTATTCATTTTCTTCAATTATTCACATTAGCACGTTTCACTGTAATAACCAAAACAGCTGTTTTGAGTTTTAAAATGACTCGACGGGGCAGCGCAACCGCAACGTAGGCAAGCGTTTGATGACATTTCTCGATAAGTGTGTTTTGGTAACAAAAGCGTAAAGCGTTAAAAGTACCTACATTCTACATAACAATAAAGTACCTAACCGATTTAATTTGAATTAATTATCATTCATAAAGATACTAACTTACATTTAAATAGACAGGCTATAAATGGCTATAATGATTCATGGAAGTCTTGTAGAAATTCTATTTAATTGAATTTAATTAGCTCCACGTGTGTAGCAAAATTGCTGTTTTGACAATAACATTTTAAGCGCCAAATTCAAATACTTTTTGAAAATAAATAAACAAATTGCTTGCAGATTATTGCACAACAGCAAATACCATTTATTTGAAAAGATTACGCAAGATTTCTTAAAACTGTCGATAACGTAATTAAAAGTACTTGTATCAGAAACTGCTTTGCGACATAAAATAGACTGAATAGGAATAGTGATACCACGCAGATTCACAATGCACTCTAGTACCAGTCAAAATATTTTGAAAAATAACTTATTAATATACACTTAGCAACATCCACCCGTAACAGGTATTAATAGAAAAGTAAATCAATACAGTGAGAATAGTTTGTGGTTTGTAATTGTATCAATGTTTTACACAATATAGCACAATTTAATATCTACATAATATTACTTACTACCTTGATAATCTACTGTTAGTGAACTCAAGTACATAAATTTGACCTCTGGGGTTGGAACTGAAAATAAACATAAAACAAACCGTTTAAAAACAAAAAAAAAGTTTAATTAAATTTCAAGCCGAACTAAAAAAAATTTTTCTGATCCTTGATACTGATACAAATTTCAAGTCGGAAATCTTGAGGCTAATGAGAATTATGTTGAAAGATTACATTACATATTTAGACAATACTATAAAAGCGAGTTAAAGTGATAAGCACAAGATACAAGTAAATTGGAAGTCGTCGTGGCCTAAAGGCAGGTACCAATTTTTTCTAATGAAATCTGCACTTAACAAATGTTCAAGATTGATTTCGATGGTGAAAACCTGTAAAATTAAAATTATAATTCAATATAAAATAATAATTACTGGTGGTAGGACGTCTTGTAAGTCCGCACGGGTATGTACCATCATCCTGCCTATTTCTGCCGTGAAGCTGTAATGCATTTCGGTTTGAAGGGTGGGGCAGCCGTCGTACTATAAAAACTGAGACCTTAGAACTCTTATCTCAAGGTAGGTGGCGACATTAATGGTGGGGTCAAAACCCTACTCTGACCGGGTTTTGACCCCGGACGGAGATCGGACGCCGGGTGTAAGAGTGCAGGGGAGTCGTTTAGTGGGTGGGCCCTAAATTCCTTGGGCCCGCGGTCTGCTCTCAACACCTGCAGATCGTTGAGTCTCACATACCCCGCGCGCCCCCTAGGCGCGGGGACCTCGTAGGAGGTTCGGCCCTCGACCCGGAAAAAAAAAAAAAAAAAGGTGGCGACATTTACGTTGTAGATGTCTATGGGCTCCGATAACCCCTTAAAATCAGGTAGGCTCGTCCACTCATAAGCAATAAATAAAAATAAAAACATATCAAGAGGTGATTATTATAGTAGGCATAGTGTAATCTATTGCACGCCAAAATATACCATACACAACATAATAGCACCCTTTTTCTTAGGGAGGAAAGAAATTGAAAATGAACAAAGAAAATTAAATTGATTAAAAGACACTGATTTGGAAGTAAACAAAGAGAAATCCACCGTGTGAGTGAAATTGCTCCGTAGACCCACGGGTCACGATGTTTATAGCACGTTTATAGCTAGCTACTAGACTACAAAAAAATCGTTAAACACTAATACAACATTTTTAGGGTACTCTCTAAATTTTGGGTCTATTTTCGTTTTTCAAGACTATGCATGATATTTACAATGGCTTCCGTGTTTGAGTATCTTAACCCAACTTTCTATTCTAGTGTATACTTATTTTAATGATGTCTCTAAGTGCTAAATTCCGTGACTTGAATTCTCTATTTTCAATTTTCGAATTTAATTTTGATCTTTTTGTATTTAACTTCATTGTGCGAACATTAACATTTCGTCAGGCCATTTGAAATTTTCTATACTAATATTATAAAGAGGAAAGATTTGTTTGTTTGTTTGTTTCGAATAGGCTCCGAAACTACTGGACCGATTTGAAAAATTCTTTTTCCATTAGAAGCCGACATTGTCCCTGATGAACATAGGCTACTTTTTTTATTTATTTTTTTGGTTTCATGTGTGTTTTAATGTTTCCGAAGCGAAGCGAGGGCGGGTCGCTANTCTATACTAATATTATAAAGAGGAAAGATTTGTTTGTTTGTTTGTTTCGAATAGGCTCCGAAACTACTGGACCGATTTGAAAAATTCTTTTTCCATTAGAAGCCGACATTGTCCCTGATGAACATAGGCTACTTTTTTTATTTATTTTTTTGGTTTCATGTGTGTTTTAATGTTTCCGAAGCGAAGCGAGGGCGGGTCGCTAGTATCATATACATATCGACGCTTGAAAGGTAAACGTGACTAAGCGACAATGCGTGAACTTTACAGTAGACTAATTTAAAGTTGAAATACCTGAAAAAAAATCTATTTTAACGAATCTAGCTGTAGGATTGAAATGATTTTAATAGACCTAGAAATATATTTTTTTCGCGCATCGAATATGGTTATTGCCTATCATTTATGTATAAAGCAGTTATTGTCGCTTAGTCACGTTTGCCTTTCAAGCGTTGATATGTATTACTATTTCTAATAATTGCGATGGCACAATATTCAAAGTAAATAAAGTTAAAACAACTGCATGTGAAGTATTACACTTAAAATTGGTATTTAAAAATAATGTTGTATCCTACGTCAACAACCATTACAAAAACAATTGTCAAGTTCTTACTTAGAAAACTTTCTAGAAGTGTTTCAAACATTATATTGTGTTGCCAGCGTTGTAATAGCATAAGATTAGACGGAACTCATTACGAAACCCCAGTTGCACAAACTGCGTTAACTACAACCAGACATTACCTACAAGAAAAAAATATTATAGGTCGTTATTATGTTTAGTAAATTGATTAAAATAATAATGTTCGGAAACAGATTCGTTGGCGTATATCTATTAAGAATGCTTGAATAGATAGCTTAAATTTCAGTACCAGATGCTACTTAGGTTACAAGATCATTTTTAAATACTTAGATTACAATAAGATAATATTGTAAAGAAATTTACAATTAGAACGTCGTATTAAAATTTAATAATTTGCTTTTTTACTAACTTAATACTACAGCTCACTCGGCACACCTAGTGTTAAATGGTAATCGGAGTTCATAGACAACCTGAATATCAGTAAATGCCCTAGTTTATAACAATAACTTAATTCAAATCAGATTATTAAAATTGAGACAATAAGAACGTATTTACACATAGCTAACAAGCTTAATTTAGAAGTGTGTATGTATTTTTTTCAACCTTGAAACTACCGACCCGAGTACAGTAGGTATCTTGAGTAAGTACGTCATAAAAACATGCTTATGCCTCTCTAAAATTAAAGGTTGATGTTTCATAAAAAATGAATTATTAACTAGTTTTTAAGTAATCGTAAATTGTGTAATATGTTTATGTTAGGGAGGTAGGGCGTACTGTGAGCCTACTGAGGAAGACAATCATCTTGCCTATCTCTCTCATGAAGCAGTCATGTTAAGCGAGCTCACAGCGACTGTCATGTTTCCTACCATCAGGACACTACCACTTTCCTACCAAACAGGAACTCATAACTAACAGGAACTCAAGGAATTCAACCAATTAAAAAGTACGATGCGGAATATACTTAGGTATAGGTACACACAATACGAAACCCAGTATATAAGCACACTCAGAACTCAATAATCTAATAGGTTTAGTAAGGATATTAATTTTGTTAATTGGGATTGTATGCAGAAGAGCATACGGCTCACGCACTATGGTAAGTCTGGTGAGCTTGCACGGGTAACACCATCCTGCCTATTTCTACCGCAAACCAGTACATAATGCGTTCCGATTTCAAAGGTGGCCGTTCGTTGTACTAGAAAACTAAGACTTAGAACTCATTTCTCAATGTGAGGAATTTACGTTGTTGATTTTTATATCCAGTAACCACTTTACATCCGATGGGCCGTGAGCACGTTCACTCGTCTAAGCAAAAAAAAGCCTAATGTTGAGTGATTAGCACTGTTAGATGTCAGCAATGACGGGGGCATAGCCAAGCCGCTATATATGGGCCAGTCGTGTAAATGTAGGGGAAGAGTGTATTGAGCGCATACCCGATCCTGTGGACCGAATGGTAAACAGTCGACGTCGCCCTAAACACGTCATTACGGATACTCCCGATCCATTAACGGTGCTTTTAGGTACCTCAAGCACCGGTCACCGTCCTTGCCGAACCCGTCGCTTGCGATGAAGGGCTCGACGAGTAAATTAACCCATAGACACAGCCCACTGAGTTTCTCGCCGGATCTCCTCAGTGAATCACATTTCCGATCCGGTGGTAGATTTTGTGAAGCACTGCTCTTGCTAGGGCCAGTGTTAGCAACAATCCCGGTTTGATCCCCGTGAGCTCATCTACACGTCAAGGAGAAGCTGAAATAGCCTCTCAATGCTATCAGCATAGGTAGGAAAACTAAAAAAAAATCTATTGAGCGCAACTATCCACTGTGGTGGAAGGCGTTGTCTTTGTCTAAGGAATGATAATAACAACGTTACTTGCAGTAACCTATTCAATTTATGTATTATTCCACGAGTATTTGCGTTTCTTTTCAACTGGCTGACTTCGTTGCGGTCACTAACCAAGAACACTATTGTTGAGAAATAAGTGGGTGTGCAACAGCAGCATTTTTATTTTTCCACGGAGCTGCTCGAAATGTTTTCGACTAACATTTCAGTGGACTATTTTGATGGTAGCGATAAGTATTAAAACGTTAAAATTTTAGTTCATCCGTCTTGTTTATTTGAAACGTTGCGGTCATTTAGCATGCGTTTTCCGAGTTCCTTCCATTTCAGAATTTCGACTTCTTCAAACTAGAGAGAAAAGTAGAGTTCTCAGCGGTAGGTAGTGGCTACGCTGGTATTGCTAATGTTCGTAAGCGGCGGTGATCATTCACGAATAGGAGCCATATATCTGTCTGTCTGTGAAGACTAATATGAAGAATAATACCGTAAATGTGTGACGCAGTGATATTTTGGGATACATGGTTATAGTAAATTGTTATTGCCTCTTGTTGATACTAGGAATGCCATTGGCATAGTCAGCCTACTGTGTTTTTAAACATTATTTCAAAAATGGTGTAATTTCATAGGGCTGTGGGGCTGTAGAGTAACCATGAGTTACATAGCACGGGAGGTGACATGACAGAGACTCTATGGCTATAAGGTGCTAGGACCTCTTGTGAGTCCACACGGGTAGGTACCACCAACCCACCTATTTCTGCCGTGAAGCAGTAATGTGTTTCGGTTTGAAGGGTGGGGCAGCCGTTGTAACTATACTGAGACCTTAGAACTTATATCTCAAGGTGGGTGGCGCATTTACGCTGTAGATGTCTATGGGCTCCAGTAACCACTTAACATCTCATCTCTGACAGTTCCTTCCAGAGTTTTCCAGAGAGATTTTCTACGGAAAATACGGCACTTAGGAAAGTTAAATTTTTACTCTCTGGTGACTCCCCAATTTATTCTCGATCGACATTCAACTCTATTTATATCTATGTGGTCAATAGCATTCAGAATGACTTCAGTAACGCCTAACAACGGATAAACTGTCAGCTGAACTTGTGTATAGAACAATAATATTGAATTGCAAAAATAATAAAGCCCGTTGCCTTAAATCCGGCAATTGTACTTATTGTTCGTAGAATGTACAGGAAGAGAGCATTTTAGACGTCGGTAGTCATCCTATTAATGAATCTTTTTTTTACTAATGATAAACATTTGGTGATGTTAATAAAACTAATAATGCTAATGTTAATAAAAAGAAAAGTTATGTACTTAACTGTTATTAGATAATCAATTTCCCTTTGGTTTTAGAAAGTTGACGAGAAACCAAATAAATTCATGCAATTCGTAATTTAAAATTTCTTCAAACATAAATGAAGATGTTACGTACATATTAAGAAAATCAGTTCAAAAGAGTTTATTATAGACTCACTTCCTACAGCAAAGAAATCACTTTCAACCGATGTTTTAAAGCATGTTTAAATAAAGCGTGAACTGTTTTTACACTACATTTATTTTTATTTGTTATTTGTTTTAAGAAATCCTGTTAATGAGCTCTTTCGTTTTTTTTTTGTCAATGGAGTTTGATCCGTGCCTAATACTAATTCAAGGTCTTGTTTAGTTAGAAAACTGTGAATATCGTACCGATTAAATAGCTGATGAAATGCTAGAGGGTTATTTTAGTAATGTATAATATTTATGATAATTGATATCGTATTATGAATTTGACGTAAAGACTCTGAACTATGTTTCGTAATACGTTTAAAACTAAAATGGCATACTCACTAATTCCATTTCGCAAAGTTTTCCCATCACTACCTTTAGCGGTAACATCCGCGAAACACATCGCTACTTAAAATCAAGCACAGTCGTAGTTCGAGTTAAGTTAAAAGTCGTTGGCACAATGATGTTCGAAGGAAAATTGTAGAAAATTCAACTTAAACCCGCAAATTACATAGAGTAAACCATCCACGGTAACTTTTACGCTAAGAATGTTGCGGCAAGTTGTCGGACGGAGTGCAACGCGTGCTTGGTCAATGTTTGGTCGCGGCGTGTTGGTGGCGCTGCCGCTAGCGCCCCTCCGCGGCCACGTCAATGAAACAACAATAACGCATTGCCGAGAATCGCGATGTTACAACATTCGGTAGAAAAGTTAAAAAGAAGCGAAATGAATTCGACAAGTAGAACTGTTACATTTTGGTTACATCAGTCGTTTTTCATTGAAGACGTTAGCTGCGCCATCTGGTTCCGCTACACGATAGTTGGCTATGCGGAATTAGTTATAATATTGTAGCTAGATCAACGCCGCGTAACGTTTATGTAATGCCGATCGAATCCAGTTGAATAGCATAGGAAAGCTCACACAAAAACCTTTTTCATGTTCATTCATGTTTTGTCGAAATGATAATTAAAAAAAAAGGTTACTGTATTTTTTAGATTGGCGGTTAGGTTGACAAAAAATCGATTTTAACTTATATAATTTAACGGTTTTCAAATTAAACATGATCAATCAACAACACATTTTCACTATCAATTATCGTGACTTAATTTCAGTTGAAAATATGTTTTGATTTGCTAAATATTTTTGTAAAATTGTGAGAAAAATCGAACAGATCCCAAACCAGGGAAATGGTTTGGGATTTATACCAAACCAGGGAAATGGTTTTATACTTGGAAGGCAGAACATTTTTTTCATTGAAGCCTGAATTTCAATGAAGTAAAAAAAAAGCCAGACAAGAGAGAAGAATTACTGAGCTGTTTTATCTTTGCCTATTTTATATAGAATCATTTATTGCTATATTATAAACAATGTTGCCCATTGATATCACATGAACCAAACAAATTTCTAGCATTATTTTTAACACTGATCAATTCACTGTGCATTTCAGTGCAAATTATATTAATTAAAATACGCATGTTGTTTGACAAATATTTTTTTCTCTTACTGTTTCATTGTTATTAACAAATATTTTTTTTAAAGACCAAAAATTTATGATATTCATCTAAGCAACGTTAAGCAGTTTTAAGTTTTTTTTTTGGATTGAACTTCAACGACTGATCATATTTCATACACATACATAATACAAATAGTTTTTTTCTACTAGTATGTTTATTTTTTTTCTTTAGTCTATTTATCAGGATGAGCAAAGAGCTCCCTGACCATACGTTTAATTTTTGAAAGAAAAAACCACTTCAAACTCACCTAAAGTAACACAAAATATATGTACCTATACACGATTCAAAAATTAGGAGTGTCAATAAAGCATCGGTTTCGCCATGTTTGGAGAAGTTGATCTACCAGTCCTGTCTCTTGTGACCAATAAAGCGTATCATGTTTTTATTAATGGATGCGAAAGGCAAGAGACCAAAAATAATGGAGTGCATAATATGAAGATACACATTACACTACACTACACTCAGCATTGGGTGGACACCGGTTGAAGAAGAAATGTTATAAAACTCATTTATTTTCTTTATAACAAACATAATTGTCTTAGTAATTAGAGCAAACGATGTAATTTATTTATATTCTCATTTATAAATGAAACTAGATTACGCTCGCTCGTGACTATATGGAAAATGTATAAAAATATGTAGTTCTTAAACTACGCAGTATCTATCGTTCTTTGATGTGGTATTATGACAGAAACCTTCTTGCTGGGGCCAACAACTGTGCTTAGTTACAACACAATCAGGTAGAGAAGCACATAGAGGACAATAAAAACTAGATTATTGCACAAATTATTAATTTAAAGAACCTCTTATAATTTCTTGTAATAAATACTTTTACAATATAATACATACACAATATCACAATTTAAATGCCACCCTACAGTTTGTGACATAATGTTGAGTCTCAGTCATATCACTACCACCAAATTCAACCTTCAAGTCAACACATAACTATGTACTTTGCGGCAGAAAATATGCTGGTTATTTTTCGCTATTTAATCGTTCATAATAGGTTATTTATTATTTATAGGTTTCGACCTTATGTTTTATGGTGAAAGTGGGCTTTCAGCTTATGATCTGTATGGAACTTTATAAGCCCCAATAGCGGTTTCTTATACGCTTAAATTGGCGAAATTAAAAAATTACCTTCATATTATCGGATCGTTTGGAGCCTCTGGGTCTATGGAGAAACTTCGGTTCCCTCTGTATTTTGTACCATATGTTCCATAGGGAGTGATCTGAGGAATTGTTTAAGATGATACCATCTTCTCGTTCCATCGGAGTGGAGTTCATCCATACTACCGGGAGCCACTGTGTTTATCCACAGTGCGTTTCCACGTACCATCCGGATTTGGAATGAGCTCCCATCCACGGTGTTTCCCGAGCGCTATGACATGTCCTTCTTCAAACTAGGCTTGTTGAGAGTACTAAAAGGTAGGCAGCGGCTTGGCTCTGCACCTGGCATTGCTGGCGTCCATGAGAGACGGTAACTACTCGCAATTAGGTGGGCCGTATGCTCGTTTGACTATACGGTAATAAAAAATACATGAACCCTTATTGTTTATGCCATTAGTTTAGGACTTTGCCTTAGGACTTTTTCATGAAAGCAAGATAAAATAGTTATACAAAATAACTAACTGAGAATAAGAACATCCAGTAAAATATGCACAAAATATTTGAAACATACCTAAATACTAAGTTTGTCATTACCCGTTGTAAAGTAGATTTGATTTCATCCAATAATTAACTAATCACTACCTAGTAGGTATATTTGGTAAAAATTGCTCAAGGCTTGAGTAATAATGTCGTTCTTTGCAACTTGTCACGTTGACCGAAAACAATTGCTTTATTGCGCAATTGAGACGGCGGAGCAGTTTTTGCTAACTCAGGCAGACATATTTACTTATAATACTATATTATAATAATACTTACACAGATACAAAGACGACGTGACTTGCCTTTCAAGTGATAAGCGACCAAACGGAAATGTTTTGTTATTTAAAATACTCATCCTTCGGAAAAATGTATGTACAACGATTTTTTTTTAGGACTGAAGTATTACTGGTAGCCCGGAGGCCTTTCCAGTTTCACCAGGACAGGTGGGCGAGCAACGGCTCAGCCAGGAGGGGTGGGATTTGCTAATAGCTGTCCGAGCGCCTCCGAAGGAGACCTAACGACTCAAGAGCAGCTGCTTCGTGAATGAATCTACTACCGGTTCGGAATCGCGAGCCGCTGAGAAGATCCGGCGAAAAATTCAGCGAGCTGATTCATGGGTTAGGTTGCACGTCGAACTCTTTGTCGAGTTCGACGAGTACGGTTACCGGGGTCCCTAAGCCTACTACTAGTGTTAGAGCCGAAGGCGTCAATACTATGATTTCTATTCGTCGCTTAATCAAGCATTTAGCTTCTTGTAATTAATATCGGTACTTCTGCAAAGGCGATTTTAACCTTTGGATAACGTACGTTTTATGCAAAAAAATGATTAAATTTATGTTTAAAGATTGATTTTAGCCACCACGATTTAGTTATGTGTGTTAGTGGTAGTTTTTTTACGGCAGGGTATCCATTTACGGATTTGCGGCCGAAGGGAAGTCAGGCAGGGTCGTATTAGACTCCGGCACCTTCGAAAAGACAACGCCTGAAGAAAGGCGCGTGGACAGCGTTAACCTCACAACTACCCAAAGAACGACTGCCGACTAAACTTCAACGGACATTATCGCCTGGCGCCTGATGTCCGCCCGAGACAGAGCCCGAGCAAGGCAGGGGGATTCTACGGTCAACACTACAACAGTCGCGCAGTTGCCCCCGAGAACGCCTGGCCGAAGGAATCGTTAACGATAGTCGGCTCCATATCAGTCGTCACGATACAGCAGCCCGTTAGGCCACCCTAGACAATGCAGCTGGTGTCCCAGAATACCCCACTGGACCAGAACCAGTCTGCTGGTTCGGAATGCCATATATCTCCCACCTGGTTGCTCTTCGACACAGAAGTTCTAAGCTAACTTAAGCGCCGTAAAGTTGCAGTTACGCGGAACTGTCGTCATACAGCGCGCTTAAAAAGGTTAGTAGTACCTGGACACACTGCGTTCATTTACATGGAATTCCCAGAGATGACCTCGGTAACGCACACTCCGCTGCCTTCGGTGTTCCCTAATTTTTTGTCCCTTCTTACACGAGGTGTAAAGAGAGTCCCCACCTTGCATAGCTTCTGACCTTGTTAATATCCATCAGAGACGATAGCCACTCACCATCATAAATTACCGTATGCTGGTCTGCCTAGGAAGGCAATAAAAAATATTACTTGAAAACCACAGTTAAATAGAAAAAAAAAACAAACAAGTGTGTTATTGTGAACGAGAGCAATCGTGCGTTCCGCTTTGAAGGCTACGATAGCGGTCACATAATACAGTAGGGACTAAGATACCATGCCTCAAAGTAGGGCCATTCGATTTCTTGTGGTGTCTATGGGTTCTATAATTCAATACGGGTCAGAAATGGGCAGGCACGCGGTGGTAATTGATATAAATAAAATAAAATAAATAAACACATTATTATTAGGGTTGGTTCATGACTCAAGAACAATTTTTACAAGATCATAACGTGCCCTTTATTAAAAAAAAACTCGTTACATCAATATTTTTATCTGGAAACTCATAAGGTGGCCTCCGAAGAATTTTAAACATCAAGTGATTTTAATCCTAGAGCATGTCTAACATCTCCTATACTCGAGATTTCTCCACCTTATAATAATTTTCAAGGTGACTAAGGCAAAACTTGTATAAACTGGTTCGCTTTTTATAGATCTCCGACTACAGGGACAAATTAAATTGCCCAGAATAAGGTTATTATACGATGTAAAAACCGTAGCTTTTGTACAACGTGACAATCTCAAATTCAATGCAACCTCGAAAAGTAAATTTGATCAAAACTAAGCATGTATTGTGTTTGAAACATGAATTCCACTGAAAATAAAATAAATATAAAACTTTACTACTCACACTGGGTCTATTTATAATACTTTACTTACATACATTCAAAATTGCTTAGATATTTTTTTGGTAATCCAATT